ATTACATACGCAGTTAAGAAAACGCACCACATCTTGCAGTTGGCAGTTCTCTCAGTTCTGACTGCACAGCTGTGATATTAGGGAGAACTAAAATGTGTAAGCCAATCTATTTATGTCAGCAATCCTCTCCCTCCCTCCCCATTCATACACACCTATTTCATTCATCATTTTGACAGTTTGCACAAGCAAACCATCCTAATTTTTTTTCAAGAGCTCTTTTCACAAATTGAGTGTGATGTAGAATTAATCATACCTGTTAGGCAGGAGGTGGAGGACTTTATCGCTAGAGGGCATTTTTCGCCCCCAGCATTCAGCTTCCTCCATATTGCATCACAGAGAATTCTCAACCACCCTCAGCCTTCCCTCATCCCACAAGGGCACAGCATTCTCAGCTGCCTTCAACTCCGTGAAGTTTGGCTCTTACTTCTGTTGAAAATATTTCTTTCATGTATTACAACTTTTTTCCATTTTCATCACAGCAAGCCATCATTATACTTCTTGTTATTTTGCCTTCTTGGGAAATCCCCTCCTGCCCATTCTTCCCCCTCCCCTTCCACTCCCTGCCCTCTCTCAGATCTTTCAAAATAAAAGGTACTTACAAACATAGAGATTTTAAGACATCAGCTTCAAATGGAAAGTACTACCTATGACGCTTCCCACTAAGGAAGTGGCAGGCGTCTTATTGGTTATGCTCCTGCGTTTTACTTAGAAGTTTTCTAGAATAAGGCCAGGCGCGGTGGCTCACGCCTGTAATCCCAGCACTTTGGGAGGCCAAGACGGGCGGATCACGAGGTCAGGAGATCGAGACCATCCTGGCTAACACGGTGAAACCCCGTCTCTACTAAAAAAAATACAAAAAAAACTAGCCGGGCGAGGTGGCGGGCGCCTATAGTCCCAGCTACTCGGGAGGCTGAGGCAGGAGAATGGCGTGAACCCGGGAGGCGGAGCTTGCAGTGAGCTGAGATCCGGCCACCGCCCTCCAGCCTGGGTGACAAAGCGAGACTCCGTCTCAAAAAAAAAAAAAAAAAAAAAAAAAAAAAGAAGTTTTCTAGAATAATGCAGCAGAGGAGAAGGGTAAAGAAGTTCTAGTTTGCAATGGTGACAATTGAGAAAACTTTGGTGCCCATTTTTTACTGTAGACTTGCAACTTGAGTTTTGTGTGTAAAAATCTATACCTTAATGCCAACCAGTGTTTTTACACATGGAGGAAAAAAAATCACACCTAATTGCAGTTAACCATTTAAGCTTAAAATTCCAGCTCTCAATGCCTATGTGAGTTTTCCTTTCCTTCCTTATTACAAAAGAGGACAATCTGAAAACTATAGTCCAGACTTAAAATTGTGAAGACACCGTTAGATAAATACGTACTGCTTTGCTCTGCGCTGCACTTAAAAAATTATATAGACGCTGACAGTTTAGTGGAAGGGGTAGTCGTTATATCTCAAAGGCATGTGGGTAGCCCTGACAAATATTAGTTACATAAGCCTAACGATAGCTGTACTCAAACCAACACAAAGTTGCTTTAAAAGAGAGAAACTTCCTAAGCCTGTTCTCATGCCTGCAGACGTGAAGGAATTGGATCTGAAGTGTAATTTTCAGCCTAAAGTTCCAATAGCATGAAAACCTCACTTCTTCCATGAAAGAGCTTTGAAGCAAAAATCAGAAACACGCGCTCAGGTCCTGACTCAGTGGTGAACCAGCTGGGTGACTTTGGACCAATCGTCTCCACTCGAAGTACAGATACTGACTTTCATGGTCCTATGCAAAGCTAGGAGATTAGGGCCTTTAAGTTAGTTTATGATCCCACACTTTAGCTTCCCTTCTCCCACATGACATTATTTCTGCCCTTATTTTCAGCTGAGTCGTGTCCAAATAGTCCCTCACATTTTTATAAGCGATGAAAACATTGCTTTTATATTTTTGACTCTACGGTTTCTGTTTCTTGGAATAGAAATCAATGTCCCTATTTTATGGTTTTGTGGTGACTGCAGTGCTGAAAGCCTTGAGAAACCCCACAAGCAGAGCCCAGGAATGACAATGGAATGCTGAGAAAGGAGGTGGTATTAACTCTTTGTAGGCTCCTGTATGAATTTTAAGATTTTGGGGGGTTCTTATAAGATTTTTCCTCTATGTTCCTAGTAAAATAATTGGAATTTAGTAAAAATCATTGAATAATCTTTTTGGTTACATAAACAAAATCTTAATACCCTTAAATTTTAAAGAAAATTGTATACAGAAGCCATTGTTTATTCTTTTTGGACATGGAGACATTTATTCACTCATTGATTTATTCAATATTTTAACTATATATATAGTTATCACATAATATATGTGTGTGTGTATATATATATGTGTGTGTATAAAGATATCCAGAGAAGCTATGTTCAAGGAACTCACAGTCTGTTAGAGAAAATAAGATTATTTTGCAAATCTTAATGCAGGAAAGACATGTGACATAACAGGAGGGCAGCAAAGAAGTGGTGGAGGTTAAGAGAAGGGGGAGGTGATTGTGAGTTGGGTATGATGAGAGTGAGACTTTGCATGCCTCTGAGCAGGACTTGAAATATTAGCTGGATTAGTGAGTGAATGAAAGTGAGACACGCTATCCACCACCATCTTCCTGTGAAGCGCAAAGTGACTTTTAGTGTCATGGAAACCATGAAGCAGCGAGCCACCTCTCTAAGCGGGTTTTACTTGGTAGGCAACAAGAAGGAAGGAAGAACTTAGGGTGGCTGAGAAATCATCACGAACCAAAACAAAGCACTGCTGTGAGGTCCAAATATCCCAGTCACTGTTTTGCTTGCTTTGTTAAATATATTACGGTGTAGAGGAAAGAAGATGAGCTTTGGTGCCAAAAGGATCTAGATTCAGACTCTAGTTCTAGTATTTTTAAGCTCTCTGTGTGCCAGGATCCTCATCAGTATTGAGAATATTACCTATCTGAATGAGCTATTATGAGCATTCAGTAAGAGGACTCTATCATTTCTATTAGCTTTGTGATCTAGCTTCAGTTTTCTCATCTGTAAAATGGGAATGAAAATGATAAGTACGATGAAAAGATGGCATGAGATAGTGCATGTAAAATGCCCAGTTTTCTTCCTGTTAGGTAGTCAGTGCTTGATAAATCTAGGCCGTTAGTAGTAGTAGTACTGGTAACCTATTTATATCTTTGGTAGATATAATCAGCATTTAGATAATCATTTATATTTCTGTACACACATTTCTATAGTAATATTTTCATATTATTTGTCTTATTTAGCATTAAAACTCTCTGTTGGATATGGATTCTTATTTCTCCATTATGTGGATCAGGAAACCCAGCTCAGAGAGGTGAACTGCAGGCAGTACTTCAGTCAGGGTGGAATCAGGCATGTTCTTTGATAACAGCAAAATTCAGGTGCCGATTCCCATGGTCTTCCTACAATATTGCACTAGGGTTGCAGGAGGAGCTGGGGTCACATCTACCATGTGTTGGTTTTGTCACGGAAAGAGCCAGATGAACCTGAGTTTGAATCCTGATTCTGCCTTTGATTACCCATGTCTTTTCAGGAAAATCAATTTAATCTCTCCAAGCTTCAGGTTCCTTATCTGGAAAACAGGCTTTGTGTTATTTACTTTATAAGGTTATTGGGGAGATTAAAAAATTCAGACGAGGAAATGTATGTCAAGAACCTGTCACTTGGAAACTTGGGAAATAGCTAATTCCTGTTTCTTAGTTGGCAGAGACCCGAATTTAGAGATCTTCTGGCCTGCATTGCCTGGGATGCTTCACAGAATACGATTTCTTGACAGGTGTTAGGTGAGGAAAGGTTCTGTGGCTAAATAACCTTGGGAAAGATGGATGAAACAAAGCTGAATGAGGTTCTTTTCTGCGGAACTGTTTTTTAGACACAGAGTCTCGCTCTGTTGCCCAGGCTGGAGTGCAGTGGTGTGATCATGGCTCACTGCCTTGAACTCCCTAATATTTAATTTTTTTGTAGAGATGATGTCTCACTGTGCAGCCCAGGCTGATCTAGTCTCAAACTCCTGGCCTCAAGTGATCCTCCCACTTCAGTCTCCCAAAGTGCTGGGATTACAGGTGTGAGTCACTGCGCCCCAACTCCGCAGAACGTATTTAATGACTAGTAGATGATGTCTTCCAGCGTGTGATGTTGCAGAAGCATTGCTTAAGTTCCTTTGACTACAGAATTCTCTTTACGGCTCATGTCAGGTGACAGATGTCCCTTGTTTTACGCATTGAAAGCTGGTGGTTAAGTCAAGCATCTCCCTTTGATAGCTGAGGACACTGTGTACAAAGGGTTAAGCACAGAAGATACGCAGGACTGGGCCCAGCACCAAGCTCGCCTGCCATCCTCACTCCTCCTGCATTCACACGGCTTTGGGTTATTAGGGCTCCTTGCCTACCATTCCTCTAGTGCCTGCTGCTGGTCCTAAGAGGGTCAAAGTATTGGCTGGAGTGTCTAGATATGACAAAGGAGGGAAAGAAATTCTAGAGGCATCTAGTTGTAAAACATACAAGAAATGACAAAAGGGAGATTCAGAGCGGGATGGCCACCCCACAGCAAGGTGGCCAATAAATCTCAATTGTGGCTTCTTGTTAGGACTGGGTCCACGATAGGAAGACATCGAATTGTACACTTGCAACCACAGTCTGAAGCTAAAGAGACTAAGGAGAGGTTGCCTGTTAATATCGCAAACTGCCACCCAGTCACATAGCCATTTGCAGCCTGTCCATATTTTATTGAGATGAGCAATTACATGTCCTGTAATGGCAATGAAGCAATAAAATTTATGTCTTGTCATCTTTAACAAGATTAGACATAACCCTACTCATAAATGTAATACTGAGTGGAGATTTTTAAGAACATAAGTATAGTTAAGGATCCTCGAGTTTATCCCTCATAGTTAATTAAAATCCTCCCCAAGAATTGGCAGATGATAGATATAAGGACATTGAACCTTTTAATCCATGGAAGGGTGAACTAATGATTTTTCCATACCTTGCTCAGCTTCAGCGGGGTCTGCGCCTCACTGCATTTGTACCATATAGATTTCAGAAGAGCAGCAAAGGGAGTGACTCCGATCCCCGCGGCAATGCACACACTCACTGGGTAGTGAAATACATCTGTCAGGGCAGCTCCAAAGGGCCCGTCCACTGCCAGCCTGGAATCACAGAGAAACGCAGCCTATTTGACCTTCAGAACACCTTCGCTCGTGAACCCAAAACCATCTGCAGCTGGTGCTTTTTATAGGACCTGTTTGCCAGTGCATGCAGAGGTTGACTCTGTGCCTGAAAATGCCCTATTTGGAGAGCCTGGGGTTAGCATGAGGATTTCCAGCTCTGCCTTATTGGGAGACAACCAGGTTGTCCTGGCCCGGGCACTGTTCATAGAAGGACAAAGCCTGACATCTCTCGCTATAGCTCAGGCCTCTTCCATGTGGCATGCTCTCCTTACAGTTCTTAGAAGCTTGTTTTGGCTCCAAGTATTAGTGAGGCTGCTGGAAGAGCCATCTCCCTTTCCACCCCAGTTGCCATCAGAGGGAAAAATCTGGAAGCATCAAGATAGCTTAGCAGGCTTCTCTTTCCTCTTCCTAGTATCATTCTCCCCTGTTTACTTTTGGTCACACATCTTAGTAGGTTTATGTAATTTTAGTCTAATGGAAGCCATTCATTTGGAATAAACATAATTTTGAAGTCATTTGTCAGTTCTGTGGAACTTCTAAAACCCATTATTTTAGATTATACTGACTCAAAATCTGTGGTAATTAGGCCTTGGGTAGCACTGGTATTTTTCTTTGCTTAGCAAATGTTTCTTAATAAGGATAAGGTATATTCACTGAATAAATAAGATGGTCCTTAGTATGGTCCTATGTAGGCTGGCCCCTGAATTCTTCTCCATCTCTCATCACTGGTTTTCACTCTGGTGAGATCTTAATATTCCTAAAATATTAAATACACAATACTCCCTACTGCCACGGGGCCTTTGCATATGATACCCTTTTCCCTTGGAATAATCTTCCCCAGTTTCTTTCCTTTTTTTTTTTTTTTTTGAGATGGAGTCTTGCTCTATCTCCAGGCTGGAGTGCAGCGATGCGATCTCGGCTCACTGCAACCTTCGCCTCCTGGGTTCAAGTGATTCTCCTGCCTCAGCCTCCCAAGTAGCTGCGACTACAGGCACGTGCCACCATGCCCAGCTAATTTTTTTGTATTTTTAGTAGAGACGGGATTTGACCATGTTGGCCAGGATGGTCTCGATCTCTTGACCTCGTGATCCGCCCGCCTCGGCCTCCCAACGTGCTGGGATTATAGGCGTGAGCCTCTGCACCTGGCATCTTCTCCAGTTTCTTCCCTCTCTCCTTAGTTAGTTAATAGTTATTCCTCTGGTAGGTCTTATCCAAATCATTCTTTTCCTGTGGAAGCCTTCTTGAACCCCTCAGGTTAGGTTAAATCCCCTCTTATATAATTTATAGCTACATGTTCCCCTCCTCTATAGTCCTCATCACAGCTGTAAGTTTACAATGTATCGGTGTGTGTGCATGATCTGATTGATGTCTGTCTAGAGCTGTGAGGTCTAGGAAAGTGGGAGTCAGGGCTCTCTTTGCTCACTGCTGTAATGCCAGCGCTCTCTGACATGAAGTTGTTCAATAACAATTGGTTGAATACATTGTAAAGGGAATGTTTAAAATATTTCAGTCAGCAGAATGTATTCAATAACCTCAACTATTCCAAAAGCACACATTTACATATGAACAAAGATATGCTAATTAAAAGGTTTCTGAGTTATTCATAACCATTCCCTAAGGGGTGTCTGTTGAAGGCACCGGTGGTTGGCCCATTTGGGCTTTACTATGTGTTCATGAAAGTTCAATTGGGTTTATTTTAAACTGTTCTATATGCCAGACTTCCTAATAATTCAAATGAACTCTCCTCAAGTTAATCTTAATTAATAAGGCTTTATTACATATTGATATATGGAAATGGAAGAATAAAAATAAAAGGTCATTAACCAGAAATGGTTAGTATCTTAGCCCACTGTAGATTATTCCATAAATAATTAGATAAAGGAAATTGAGAGAAAGAGAGAAAAAAACCCTGTACATAGATTAAAATGTCTTATTGTTCATTTTTTTTAAAAGAATCAGTCGTATTAGGGATTTATTTGACACTGATTTAAAAAGATATCAATTAAATCCAAAGAAGAAATCCACAGAAATATACAATAAACAAATTTCTACATCTTTAGAATTGAAACTCAAAGCTACAGGAGAAAGTATTTAGTCTCCGTTCCCTGCTAATACAGTAATCCTCCTGCCACATCCCTGAGAGATGATCATATTCCGATGTTAAACTGCAGGGCACCTTGTTCCACTTAGGGGCAATTCTAAGTATTAGACAATTTTTTCTCGTGTCTTACTGAAATCTGTCTTCTGACAACTCTCATCTTTTGCCTTTCTGAGAAGCACATTCCAGATCTTTTTCCTTTTTTGCATCTCAGGCCTTTAAATAGTTGATCATAGCTATCATGACACCCCAGTTGTTCTTTTTTGGGCCCAAATTTCTCCATTTCTCCAGATTTTTGACAATCTGAATCAGCTTCCTTTGCACACATTTCTGTTTATCAAGTTTATGCAGCTATCCCTGCCTTGAGTCAGACACAGCGTTCCTAACAATGCTGCTCAGAAAATGATTCGTCTTGCCTGCATCCATGTCCTGTGAGTCCTTGTTGGATAGTTCAGCAGCACCCCACCCTACCCCATTAAGTTCCAATCTCATTTCTCTGAACTGACTGCATTTACTCCTCTAATAAACACTTCCATTGCTATCTCTGTGGTAGGTGACCATTCTTATCTTGGTAATAATAATAGTAGTTAACTCTTTGAGCACTTACCGTGTGCGAAGTATTATGTTAAGTGTTTTTATGGACTGTTATATTTGATCTTAAACAAAGCCATGAGTACCATTATTGTCATCTTCATTATACAGATGAAGAAACTGAGGCAATGTGTTGCATACATTCTCCAAGATCATACACAAAGTTGGGCTTTGAACCCAGCTCATCTCACACTGCAGCCCCCAGCTCTGGGCACAGGATAACTTGCTGAAAATGCTATCAACTCTGAGAAATTCCTCTGTTTTCCTTCAGAAGATCTAGTCTTTTGAAAGAGCTCACATTCTCTCCCTTTTTCTTGGGCTTAGAGGAAGAGGTTTCCTTGTTCTTTTTCTGGGCTTGCTTCTCCTCCTGGGCTTCTCACTCATGAATTCCAGGGGCTGGATTAAATTTGTCTGGGATCCAAAGCAGTAAAAAGATCTAGTGCTCTCCCCAATATGGTCAATTTAATTCAAAATTGAAACAGTGGGGAACTGTAAAATCATCCAAGGAAGTCCAATAACATCCTGATTCTTTGTATGTTGAAGATTTAAACAAATTCTAGTTTTTTGGAAGGCTTTGCCACTAATACATATGCCTACACACATACAGAGGCAGAGGGTGAAACAAATTAGTGAATGGAGGGAAGCAGCTCTGTTTATGACAACTCATTTTTATCGAGCCCATAATTACTTACTGAGTGACTGAGGGTCAGGGCCTGTTCTAGGCCCTGGGAATGGTAAAGTGAACCAAACAAAGCCCCTTTTCTCATAGAGCTTCCATTCTAGTGTGGAGAGATAGACAGTAAACAAACAATCAAGCAAATATTTAGCATGTCAGGTGGTGGTATGTACTATAAAGAAAAATAAAGTCAGCATGTGGCATCATGGCGATTGAGTGACTGCTGGGGGTTGTTTCATGTGGAGTGGGAAGGAAAGGCCTCACTAGAAGGAGACATTTGAACAGAGACCCGAAGGAAGAGAGAAAGCTGCCCAGCAGAGATGTGGGGGACAGCATTCCAGGTGGAGGGAACAGCAATGGCAAAGGCACTGAGGACTACATTTTCAGTGTGTGGGAACAACAAGAAAGCTGGAAGAGCTAAGCCCAGGAGGGAGCAGGAGGTGGAACAGATGAGCCCAAGGAGGCCCTGGGGATCCTGTTGGGTCTTGCAGCTGGCGATGCACTCCATAGGCAGAAAGCATATCAGCTACTGAGTAACGTGTACGGAGTTCTTCTTGGGGGACTGGCTGAAACGCTATCCAGTTTGTGAAGGGGAAGGGTGGTTGATAGAGCGGATAAGTGTATACACACAAGGCAGAAGCCAGATAGCAAAAAGGATGAAGCCTTTTGCCTTGGCGTTGCCAAGGGGAGAGCAGGGACCGAGAAAGCAGTTAGATACTGTGCCCTGCATATATGTGTGTGTGTGTGTATGTGTGTGTGTGTGTCTGTGTGTTCTGGGGGGGTTGGTGAGGGTGGGGTGTTGTGCAGTGCTTCTACTTTTATGTCTGATTTTAAGCATTTGCACTGCACTCTGAACCTTAAAATTTTATTACATTGCTTCATTTCCACTATAAAAAAGAAAATAGTCAGGTGTTGTCGTCTGATCTGGGGCTCTGGATTGAGCAGATGATGTTTCTACTTGGCTTGGCATCATACCATTCTTGAGGACCGGGGTTTGAAAGGAAGCCTGTGACTCTTCCTACCCACTAAATACAACCAAGCCCAGCGGTGCAGCTACAGCTCAGTAGCCTATGAAAAGAGGGAAAGCAGGACGATAAGCTGATTACATTTTGTGTCTCAAATTTATTATGGTACCTTGTGTGTCACCAATAAATATTTGTCAAATTAAATGAGATAACGAATCCATATTGGCTCCAGGGCTTCATTGATTCTTTTGTCAAATCTTTCCTCTGTATGCACTGCACGTCAGACACTGTTGTAGGCACCGGAGATTCCGAGGAGGAAAGACAATGTCCTGCCCTCAGGAACTTCCGTTCGAAGTGTCTCTACCGAGCTCCCTACCGAAGTGCTCACGGCAGTGGCTGCTTCTTGGTAGTTCCTGATACCCTCCAGGGATGGCAGAAGTAGGAATCTCTTGATGCTTCTTTTCAAATATGAAATTCTTCCAAAAATGTTTTTCTCATCATTTTTTTGGTGTCCCTGTTATTCCAGAGCCCCAAATGTGTGCTTTGTAAGCTTTTGGGTAATCCTGCGTGAAGAGTGGGAAGTGACCTGAAGCCATTGTTTACTGAACAGAGCCAAGGAGTGGTCATTTACATTGGCACTTCTGTCATGTGCCCACGCTTTTGCTTTATCTTTCCTCCTCCTTCTCCTCCTCCTCCTCCTCCTCCCCCCACTCCTCCTCCTCCTCCTTCTTTTTTTGAGACAAGGTCTGACTCTATCGCCCAGGCTGGAGTGCAGTGGCGTGATCTCGGCTCACTGCAACCTCTGCCTCCCAGGTTCAAGCAATTCTCCTGCCTCAGCCACCCAAATAGCTGGGATTACAGGCACGTGACACCACACCTGGCTAATTTTTGTATTTTTAGTAGAGATGGGGTTTCGTCAGGTTGGCCAGGCTGGTCTCAAACTCCTGACCTCAAGTAATCTGCCCGCCTCGGCCTCCCAAAGTGCTGGGATAACAGGCGTGAGCCCAGGCTTTTCTGAATAGAGTGATGGTGTGGGTTGAGTTGTGTCCCCCATTGACATGTTAAAGTCCTAACCTCAGTACTTAGAACATGACCTTATTTAGAAATGGGATTGCAGACATAATGAATAAAGCTCAGATGAGGCCATGCAGGAGTGGTATGGGCCCTTATATCCAATATGACTAGGGTCTTTATAAGAAGAGGACACAGAAACATAGCATCCTTGTTATGAAGACCCGACTTTACAAATATAATAAAAAAAACTCAGACTGTGATAGAAAAAAATGCCTAGAGTTGTCTGACTCATTGCAGGCTACATAGAAGTAACCAGGTGATGCTTTAGGAGCTGGGAGAGAAAGCCCCTTCCTGGATCACCCTCCCTTGGCTGAACATTAGTTTTTTTTTTCTGTTCTTCTTTTTTTTTTTTTTTTTTACAGAAATAGATGTATGTCTCCTAGAAGTCTACAAAGTTATACTTTTTATATACATTCTCAAATTTAGAACATGGGCTCAAACTCACCATCTAATAAAGATATTGCTGAATCTGGTGGCATGTTGATGCATTAAGATACCTTACTTTCTATAATATTGCGATTTATACATGAGAGAGATGGGCACAAACCTTGGCAGTCTCCAGGGCTCCTGGAGGGCCCGTCCCTCTGCCCCAAAGGCCTCCAGTAGCGCTGCCGTCCAGTCTCCCGCTGCCCGGATGTGCACGCTGAAGAAGTCTTCCTGGGGGGCAGAGGTAAGGGTGAAGGGGTGCCACTCCAGCGAGGATATGGCCGAGCACTGCACCAAGATGTACTGCCCTGGCGCCATTTTAAAGCCACGCTTTTTCATGTGAAGTTCCAGGACTCCGGAGGGGTGGCTTACCACCTACGTGAGAGCAAGAGAGTGGATTGCCTTTGTCCTCAAAATAATAAAGAAACACCTTTCATTCCATCAAAGGTGTTCACAGTTTTAGATGAGCTTGTTTCAGGTGTAATTTATATATCCCATCTGCTATTAGCTCCCAACGATATTTGCCACCACTTTCACATCTGTGTTTGCAACTCCAGCAAGAATGATGCTCCTCTGCTACAGAGGGCGGTGTTCGAAACAGCTGTACCCAGGTGCAATTGGTGCCCAGCATGGACATGGCCTAGAGTCCATGTGTCAAATGGCCAGGCTTTCCACAGCACAGTCAACCAGACCCAAGAGAGTAGAAGCTTGCATATTATTATGCTTAGGGTTATTAAAATAGTCACCATATTAGCTCTGGGTTTTTAACATCTAGGAACATTTTGTTAGCTTTTCCAATGATCTGCATCTTGTCTCAATGTCCTGTGAATTAACCCTCTTATTTCTTCAGGCTTAGTGAAAAAGGATCTTCAAACTCACTTCAAACTCTTTTCTTGTTTTAGTTGAGTCTACCTTCAAACTCTTTTCTTTTTAGTTGAGTCTTATCCCATGTCCTGACTCCACTGTGAGTTTTAGATGTAGGGAAGCATTGCGCAAGGTTTCTAGTAGTGTTTATAAAAGTTTTATGACTTGCTGCTTATCAGAGGGAAAGAGCTAATTTCCCTTCTTAGATTTCTATCTTGTTTCCTGAAAAATCTCTCCAGGCCCTCCCGTCTTCTTTTGTGACAAGAGGTATAAGGGAACAAAATCTAGCATCTAGATACTGTGACAGTATTTTTCCATTCAAAAGAGAATTTCACAGCACTTTAATCATTGGTTCTAAGTTTTCCCTCTCCCTACTGGTATCTGTTCTGACACTGCGGTTAAATGGTCTCCCTAGTAACAGCTCGAGTAGGTTTCCAGAAGTTTTACAGTCTGGCTTTTGATACAGCCTGACATCCTTTGGTGCTTAACTTAAAAACAGCAACATAGAAACAGCTTAAAGCAGAAACAGGAAGCAATTTCTATACATCTGCTTTCATGAAGGTGGCTACAGAGATACAGGATTCTGTTAAAATTGTATTGGCAAAGTGGGATAGGCTTGGCTAATGGAGAATTTCTTCTTGGACATTTCAAAAACTAGGGGAGAGTATTTGGCACCTTTTCACTCTCCTAGGCATGCATTTTTTTGGTCTTGGTCTATCCCTTCCCAGCTTCCTCCAGCAAGAGGTAAACATTGTGAGGATGTAGAGAGGCGAGAATGGGGAGCAAGCCTGAAAAATGCTACCAGGAGCACGCCGCTCATGAGGGTAGAACTCTGTCTTCATCCTTCCTCTCCATTTTTCTTCCCCACAGTGGTCCCTTTTGCTCTGAACCTTATGGTGACTGTTTCCCCTTCCTCTGCTTGGTAGTCCCCAGCGAGAGTATATAGATTTGAAAATGTTATTTGTTTGCAAAATTTGTGTCTTTACTTGGTGAAGGAAGTGATTATCCTTCAAGTCACTATGACCCATGTAAAGCACACTCACTCCCCTTGCATTTCACCCTAGAGAGAAACCAAAATAAAGAAAAAGCGGATCATTCCAGTGCTGTACAATAAACCTTTATCAGAATTCTGTGTACCGTCTAGAGCCCTGATCCCTGTCTTCAGCAAAATTAGTCACACTAAAAGATACTCAGGATACAAGCAATTATTAGAACAGAAGATGAGCCTCTAAATTACAGACAGTTCTGCAATAAAAATGGCAAATTAAAAACTTGGGCTAATAAAAAATTTTCATCTACACTCAGGCTTTTATTCAGACATAAAGCTACATGCATACCTTGGTAATGACAACTTCTTGTTGAAATCGCCAGAACCTAATTATTCTTTCACATGCATACAAGACTACAGGGCCTAAAATCCATTTCCAAGCCTGCAGAGAGTAGCAGAGAGAGAGAAAAAGGAATGAAAATAGAATCCAAATATTTTCAATTTGAACCAAATCAATATAAAACATGACGGGGTTTAGACATTTTTCCTTTAACTTTGGGCCAGTTATCAACAACAAAGGTGTCTCCTTGTATTATATACTATAACATTCAATTATTTCTTGAAGTCTACAAGCTTATTTAAGAGATTAAATTCTTCTATATTGGTTTTTATGCTTACTTGATCAATGATGCCTTTATGTAATTAGAAATAATTGAATTTGCAAAGAAATAAAAAAGCAGATTGATGTTTCTGTTACATATGATAGGGTCATAAATGCTCCCAAACTCAAGCCAAAGTCAAAGCTACATTACTCACCCAACACAGGACACAAGAAATTGCATTTTAAAATCTCAAATAGTAATTTTTTGGGCCAAGAATGCATCACAACTAGAGGGTCTGCCTGAATAAACACAGAAATACACACAAACACACACACACACACACACACACACACACACACACACACACACAGAGTTATATAGAGTAAAATATAAAGTTAGTTTCCTGACACCTTAAATTTAAGTTTATCTAATCACAGCAAAAGGCTCAATAATTGTCTAGAGAATTGTGATGGTGAAAATGTCCTTTTTAAATCAGATGCTATGTGAACCTTTGGTGAGTATAATGTGCGTTACTGATGATCAATTTACCAGCAGGCTATTGTATCAGGCGCTCTGTACAACATAAGGTGTCTTCCTCAGTAAAAGGGAAGGGATGGGAAGTTACAAATTTCGAAGAGTTCTATTTGTACTGAACAATCCCATGAGGCATATGTATTGTCTTGATTTTACAGAAGACGGAATTAAGACTCAGATCAACCAAATTGTCCAAGGTCATAAAGGGAAGAAGGTGTCTGGTAGAGATGTGAACTCAGATACGCCTGACTACCCAGCCTGAGTTCTTTCCAGGATCTCAGGCTACCTCCCACGTGCATTGCCATGTTATCGTGGTCCTTTCTGTCCTGCCCTGAAATTGATACTGAGGCTTGTTTTCCAAAACATTAGAAACTCATGAACTCATTGAATTTTAGGATATTGAACGGTCTTGGAAATCTACTCTAATTCTTTTTTTTCTTTTTATAATTTTTATTATTTTAAATGGTCAAATAATAATTGTATATATTCACGAGGTACATAGTGATGTTTTGATACACATAATGTATCATGATAAGGTCAGGGTATATTACTCTATTCATCATCTCGAACACTGATTATTTCTTTGTATTGGGAACATTCAATACCCTCTAATTCTTCTAGAATTAAAAGAAGGAAAATCCTGATATTCTGAGTTGCCTGGAGAGTCCAAAGTGGACCAGAGAGAGCCAGGGCTAGAACTCAAGCCTTTTCATGTGTCCCTACACTTCCTCCTAGGTTTTCTAAATCCACCCCCTTACTCCTTGAATAGTATCTAGGGAGGCAGGAAGGATGCCTCATCTTCGGAACTCAGACATTCACCACCCCTCACCGACTGACCCGTTACTCAGTGCTCCCTGACCAGTCGTCTGGCTCCGTTTCTTCTGTTGGTAGGTCACAAGCGTTTTAGCATTATTTTTACTTCCTTTGAGTCACCACTTTCTCATTTTGTCTATTTCTTTTTGTTGATTTCTGGGTCTCTTTGCGTGGTCCCTCTTCTCAACTACATCAACCATCTCTGCTTTTTTTTTTTTTTTTTTTCCTGGGGGACTCTTGGCCTCATAAAAGCTAGATCGATGGGGACAACACAAGGTAATTTGACCCACTTATTTTTTCTGCCTCAGTGAGGCCCAGCAATGTGATCGGAATAGCAAAGAGAATAAGCCTTTTGTCCCCCTATGCTGTGGATGACGTGGTGAAGATGATCAGAGTAAGGGAAACTAGGAAGCGTCCCTGGGAAGCACGGGGTTGGGCCAAGCAAAGGAATCCTTAGGTCTCTTAAGCTTGAATGAACCAGAAAGCTTTTTGAGAACTGCTTTGGATGTTTACAGAAGTGAGAGCAAGAACTGGCCGTTCTTTCTATGTGGGCTAAAAGAGATATTTGCAAAGACACTCACAGTCTTCATATATTTTTTTACAAATAATCTTCCCCACCCATTTTAGAGAGTTTGGGGGCATCACACACTTCATTTTGGTGATGTCAAATCAGACATGGTCTCTGATATTTTCCACGGTGATAAAATGTAATGGATTATTTTTCTTTCCATGGTTCAGGTAGGAGAATGTAAGCTATTAATCCCTGACTCCATCTCAACCTGAGTATATCCCTTGCTCCAGGAGGAGGTAGCCAGTGTGGTTACCTGTGTTGTGCCTGGAGCCCCTGGAAGTCAGGGCCTGAGGGAGAGATGGCCAGGGATGAATATTAGGGAACTGTCCTTGCAGTGATACCAGGGACAGACAAGAGTAAATCAAGACAAGGAGGCCTTGATTCAGAGCAAGAGGGATGTGTGCCAAGGTAGATGCTGGGCTGGGTGTCTGAAGACCTGATTCTGTCCTTGGGGCCACCACCCCTCATTCTGTGCCACTAGGCACATCTTGGGATTTATTATGTTCACAATTTCCTGTTTTGTAAAATGGGAACTAGCTGGAGAAGATTATGATTTAAGTTCCCTCCAAGCTGTTAAACACTATGGCTTTATTCACAGAGATAAATAGAACGTTGGGGCTATGTACTTGTAGCTGGCAGCGGAGTGCTGACAAAATGGGGGTTATGGAAGCTGGAGATTTACAGTGAATGCTGTGGGGTGTGGAGGAGAAAGTTCACGGCCACAGAGTTAAGGGCTCTGATTCTTTGATGTGGCTTTACTGGGAATGCCTTTTGTGACCATAGGTAAGACACTGAAACTGCTTGGACCTCCATTTCCTCAGCCATTAAATAATGGGGAAGAACTATTTAGTATCTAAATTTCCTTAATGCTAAAATATTTCGTGGCTTCTTGGATTTATTTTCTTCTTCTCCAAAAAATACTCAAAAAGTCACGCTACAGTGAGTATTTTATGATAGAAATAAAACAATGTTGATTCAAAAGCAGCAATAATGAAACTTGTTTCCTTTGCTTTCACTCCTGGTTTTTCATTTCTACCAGAAAATAAGAACATGCTGGCTTTGATTTTATTTTATGTGTGTGTTTATGAATAGCCTCTTTTTCTAGACAATCAGATCTCCTGGGGCAGGTCCCACGTCTCTGAATCCTGTCTAGTGCATTGCCAAGCAATACACTTAGGCACTCAGTGAAAGTTCGCTGAATTGACTCTACCTCGGTCAGGGCTTTCTCCTTTACCACTCACAGCCTTCCCTAGTAATTACAAAGTGTCAACCTTGTGGTTACGATTAGTTGATGCTGTAGTTAAATGACATAAAGTGCTTCTTTGGCCTAGGACGACCAGGCATCTTTTGAGACTGGATTGCATCAGAAGCAAACCAGGAATCTGGAGTCCTGTATGCCTCAGTGCATTTGGGCTGGAAAGGGAGACTGAGACAAGCAGGGGAGGGGGGACTGCCGGGTATAGTTGGTTTCTTTAATCAGTTCCGTTTATACGAGGTGAGGTACAAAGCATTCTCTGTCCTAACATTGGGAACAGTGCACCACTGAAGGAGAAATGATACATATTCTATTGATCAGAGCACCGTGAAAACGCCTTGAGTTAAGAGAGGCAAGGAAGGAGAAATGGAGCTTTGCAGAGACCGAGTAGGTGTGGTGCAGTGAAGCGCAGGAACCCTTCCTTGTCCTTGGGATGCCTTTCGGATTCAGTGTCTATAAGACATCAGAGAGAATATCGTACGGTTCAGCCAAGCGGTAATTGCATAGCCCACACACGCTTTGACTCAGGATCCATTACAAACAATGGGAGAGAGTGACACCCTGAGTTTGGGTGTGCAAGGAAGTGGAGCAGGGGAGAGTTAGAGGGAGACGAGTAAGGCCCCCTCTTAATGATAATTAATGCCAGCAAATGCTGCTGGGAGCAGGTCCTGGTCTGTATTCATGAGGTGTGGGGGAGTATTGATTTTTTTATGGAGACGCTGTAGCTGAAAATTTTAGAGAGGTATTCATGTTCCTCATTAATATGCAGGTTGGATAGTGGCTACTGAGAGTTGAGTTTAAGACAGAGACAATCTATACTGGCCATTAAAAGAACCACAGTCTAATGGGCACATCTATTCTGGTTCTCTTGGTTTAAAACCTTCCTCCTAGTACTTTCACCCTTAAAATCCAGTGCTTAATTTAATATATTTGAGGTTTTTTTTTTAAACAATGCAATCACTTATATTCTTCATATGTTGGTGACTTAATTTCCCAAATCTTCATCAATTATATATATTATACCCTGTTATTCCATGTTTTAAGTTACATATTTTTGGACACTTATTTCCTCCTACTTTTTATCTGCCAGCTGCATTTATTTTCTTTCAAGCATCACTTGGTTGTCCCAAAGATTTGCACTGTTCTAAGATACCAGAGGAGGCCAGATAGGAATATTATTTCTTTTTACCTACGCTACCAACTGTAATGGTTACCACCTACCCAGGAAATCTGACTTTTCAGATCTGTGGACACTGTCATCTACACAAATTAATTAAGTATCTTCTTGGCTAACGTCATCATTTTTTCAGTTACAGGAGCTTAATTAGAGCAAGAAGTAAATGCATTTGACACCCTAAGTTTTTGATCCCCAAATTTGTCGAAAGGAAGAAGGCAAGCTTATAAAGAAGGCCTGAGCCTCATTTGGCTGTTCATGGATCTAGGTTTGAGCGGCAGTGCTGGTAATTCTCGGACTGGGAGCAGGGGCAGTTATGCAGAGGACAGGTGGCCAAGGATGCGGGAGCACAGAGAAGGGTGGTGAGGCCCAAGGCTGACCCCTCCAGGGACATCAGTGTGCTGTTATGAATTCCCACAATATCAGACACTAGTATTTAAAGGTAAGTAGAAGAATACATTTCAAAGCTGAACATAGTGCTTTTGGCAGTAAACCTCTTTAAAAATTATCTGTAACTTGATTTCTCCATTAGCACACTTAATAAAGAGTTGGCTTTGTCTAGTGGGGAAATGTGCTTTCTTTTTTCCAAGCCTATAAAAGCTCTATATTTTAACTGCGGGGACATTTATTTTTAAAAGCTCCTGGGTTCATTCTTACCGAGGGTTCCTTGCCAGAAAATTGAGGCACGGGGCATTGGGCCACTGTCTGCCATTCTGCATAGCGGTCTCTACAGAAGGTGATGTTGTGCAGAGAGAGGCTGTCCTGGGTTTGGCCTCGAACAATCCGACTTGTTAATTAAGAAAAGCAAAACAAAACAGAAAACCAAAACGTCAGACTGATTTTGAGCAGTCTTGTTATCCCACAGATATACATTCTACAGTGAGCTTGGAAATATCACTTCCAGTTCTTGAAACTCAGGCTGTCATTCATTTCCCCCAGTTTCTTTCAAAATAAGCATTTAAGAAGCTTCGAGTAACTTTGAAGATCCCAGAAAAGAAGTGCCCCTCTGTGGTATCCTGTGTTAAATTGAAAGTGTCTATATTAGAGAATTCATAATGAAGGGAAATTGTTTGAACATATCCTTTTGTAGACTGTTGAATTTAATTAGGTTTCATCTTGTCCTGATTGCTGATTTGGGCTAATTGGCTAACTTTGCACTATTTGGTTCTTTTGCAGATTTATTTAACTTCTACCCTCGTTGGGTTGTTTCGGAGTGCTTAGAAGTCTTCCGGTGAAGAAGTCAAAAGAAGTGCCCAGAATAATGGTATTTTTTCCCCTAGTGACCACCAGCAAGCCAGCGTCTGACTCGGTCAGAATAGGTCACAATGGAGTGTGTCTTCAAGGTGGTATTGCTACATTAGGAATGGAAAAAGAAGGCAGTCTTAATGAATAGAGCACTGGACAAAGAGTCCTATAATCCTTCTATATTTTATTTGCCATGAGTGCACTCCTGACTGGCCTTTGACAAGTCGCTTTGGTACAAGCCCCTAGGGTTCCTCCTTGGTGCACAGACAGCAAAGCCCAAGACTTTCCCAAGGTCAGGGAATCTGGAAATTGTTTGGTTCCTAGGTGTTTGTGAATAAAAGGCATTGATCTGTTTTGAGAATCATGGTACTCTAGACTGAGAAACCTTAGCATCACACAGACTTATGTCCTGGACAGCCTGTGGAGTGGTGTGGACCCTGTTATATCACAGGGCATGGGAGGAGGGAGCAGTAATACGCCCTTGGAAACAGCCTTGTGTCAGCTAGAACTGACATCTTGGCCTTTGTCCCAATCTGTTTCATGGAAGCCATCCAAACTTGATAACATCCCTCTGAGTTCGATGAGAAAAACTATCTGTAAATCTCCAATGTACAAATGACGCCCAGACATAGGCAGGGTGAATAGTAAGTGAGAGTCAGAGGAAGGATTCCAGACATTTAACACTTTCATTCTCAGGCTGTAGGCAGCATTCCCCGTAGTGTCTAAAAGAAGCCTCATCTTATTCCACAAACGCTGTATCTTTTAAAAATTTTAAACTTTTGAAATGGCTTCATCTATGCCATCCCATAATAGGAAGATTAGTGGGCCTTAACACATTCCAATAATCCTACTTTCACTTGGCACTTTGTGTAGAATTTGCAAATTGCTTTTGCTGTAAACAGTAGCTGTAGAATACTTCACGCTGAGAAGATTAAATGAGGCCCTTATCCTAAAATAAGCTTTTCAACTAGGTTAAAATGACTAAAAAATTTCATCTTATGAGATGTTATTTGGATATCAAAAATATCTCCAACGAAACACTGCCCATTGAAATTCTCTTGCGCTTCTACAGTGCACCAGGGTGTGGATGTGGGGGTTGTATGTTTAGTGGGGTAAGCACATGGTGTCTGTGAAGAGGGCTTCTAGACTCCCCTGGGTTATAGGTAGCCTCATAAATACGCTGAGGGGTCACAACCCCAGCGTCGTGAGCGGAATTAGCAGTAGGAAGCGGGGGAACTGACAATCTCTGAGTTGGAACACACTAGGACTACACACCATCCACCTTGCCCACCCCAAGTACAAAAAGGAATGGTGAGATTTCCACATTCAGAAGAGCCAATCCCAGAGAGTTCTAGGTGAAAGAAAATGGGAAGCCTCTAGCCAGGCACTAGAGGACGTGTGAACGTGGACTGACCCGGTTGCTAAGGCTCGGCAGAGGCACAGGCAGTCTTTTAGGGTAAAATGCACCCTCAGGGGCACTTCTTCCTTGGAGAATGTGTTTCTGTCCGCCAGCTGAGGGACAATGGGAGAAGTCTTAGGTACAGGCAGTGGCGGCGGCAGAACTGCGACCCCCTTCCAGAAGTAGGGGGCTGAGAAGACAGGAGCATTAAGGGTGAGGAGGGAGACTGGAGGGGTCATTGACTTGCAGAGGGGCAAATCCCAAAGCATTGTCCGTGGGCTCTACATGGGACCCAGAGTCACCAAGGCATGTGTGACTTCCTAGGCCATGCTACTCTGCAGCTATGCACTTGCTCTTCCAGGTCCGTGCAGAGAGGGAGGCCACCTCCGGGACAGGACCCTCCGCACTCAGCAGTGGCAATGGTGGGAGAATGAGGGGCGGAAGAGGGTATTGTGCTGTGCAGGAGCAGAGGAGTTGCTGCTGGCAAGCCAAAAAGGGCATTAGCAACATTGCTGGCCGCATTCTTACTGGTGTTGAGGAAGGTTTAATTCATAAAATGGAAGACTTGTTCTGCCAGGGCTTGCTAAATCAGAGTAAAGGTTTGATGGTCTAAAGACTGGTGTCCTAGATCTGACTCTGTCGTTTATTCATCATGGGACCTCGAGGGCATCACTTAACCCTGAGAACACCTTTTTCCTTTTTATGAAATGGGGACAACAGCACCTTCTCTACGTGACAGGACTGTTGTGGCAGTCGAGTTGATCATGCATATGAATGTGCTTTGAAAATTGTAACATGGAAAAAATGGCAATCAGTTTTTGAAATAATTAAAAGGGACAAGCTAGTTCACAGACAGCAATTGATTCATTAGTCCAGGGCCATTTATTAATATTTAAAGGATTGAAAAACATTATATTTAAGGGATTTTGAACACATCAGGGGCTATGCTAGCTTCCTGATGAAGAGATGAACCGTATCAGGTGGGTATTGAATGCCAGAGCAGTGTTTTATGGGATGTCTGAGCAAAATGGAATCCTAGAGGTCAAATGGGGAAACTGAGGCCCAGAGGACCTGAAGGGCTCACTCTGATAACTGGTCTCAGAGCTGGATCTGGACCCCGCACCAGACTGCCCATGCCACACATTGTCCCTGCCTGAACACCAGGTTTCCTAGTTGATGGTTTTGGTTAAGCAGAAGTGAAATCTTGGTGTCAAAAATATATATCCTGAGTAATCCCACATAAATTGGATTGCAGAACAGGTGCTGAATGAAACATAGATCTACTGTCATCCTGCATTCATTAGAGTTCCTGAATTTTATAAACATGCCAAGACTCACTAACAGAGTCAGTGAGGAAAAATGAATATAATACTTCACCATCTATTAGCTTATTTTCAGTGTTACTGAAAAAGCGTTTGCCACAGTCAATGTGCTTTTCACACATTGTACAAGTCCTTTAGTCACTGCATGCTGGGATCCTTCATCTAAAAGACTTTCTAAGATTATTTTGGGACTCTCAGAGATAAAATCCTTGCAGAGGAGCACAGTGTGGACTTACCCCATCCCATGGATGGCCAGGCTGAGAAAGAAGACGATGAAAACATGGTGTGTGCACCAGAACAACTCATAGGAGGCCTGTCTGATGAACTCGGTTGATGAGGTCATGATCAAGACTAAAGCCAGAGAGATCACCAGGCCGGTGACGCCCGCTATTGTCCTTAGCAATTCAGTGGTTGTGTTCTAAAAAAAAAAAAAGAACACCGTGACAATAAATATCCTGGCACTTTTTTTTTCTTTTTTTTTTTCACTTTTAGGACCAGTACTTGAGATTTCAAGCAGGGAGCCATTCACAGTGTTTCACGCAGAAGCATGTTAGCCTCAATGAGGATGCAGGCGCAACTCAAGAAGGAGCTTCCTCTTCCTCCCCCTTCCCACCAGCTTACGGTGCCTACTTGCTTTGCTAAAATTTCATAAAATACCATTTCATCTATCACATTTTTTAAATTTGTATAAATCATTTCACATCAAAGTTATTATACTGGAAACCCCTCCCCACCATCCCTCCCTCAAAAAGCTGGGCATGGTGGCTTGAGCCTATAGTCCCAGCTACTCAGTAGGCTGAGATGGGACGATCACTTGATCCCAGGAGTTCGAGGCTGCAGTGAGCCATGATGCTGCCTCTGCACTCCAGCCTGGGAGACAGAGTGAGACCCTGTCTTTAAAGCAACAACAACAATGACAAAATGGGAAAAAAGAAAAAAAAATAAAAATAAAAAAACAAAGTGATTATGTTGAATTGAAATGAGGGCAGCATGAAAAGAGCATTTTAAAATAAAATATTGCAAAATAAATCTGAGTTTCAAGTTTTTAGTCTTTAAAATAACTATGTGGATCACCATGCTTAATTGCATTTTAACATTAATAAACACTTTTTCTGAGAGGTCCCTTGGGGCGTTCCTAATAAAGCAGCTGCACACTCAGTTCCCCTGGTAGTTATTCCTTGCTCTTGCTTCTTAATTGGAAAGACCATGACTTGCATTTCTTTCACGCCATCTCGGGGGGCCTGGAATAAGGCTTGGTAAATCCTAGGTGATCAATAAAGGTACAGCTATTCTTATCTGGTGGACACCGCTAAATGACCAGAATTCTGACCTGTGAGTGCAAGGGACAGTTAAATAGCCTTTTGGAATATGCATCACGCAGCAGTTTGTTTTTATTGTGAATTTCCCATATTCTTGCCAAGTCATTAGTATTCATACATTGTGTTACTATCGCTGAGACGGCCACGAGCTCAATAAACTCACCATATCTTTTGACAGTAAAATCTCATTAATTTGGGCTGCTTTGAGATCTGGAGGTAATTTGGACAGGGATTTCTTCATTGTTTATTTTTTCTTCATAGAGCAAAGAGTGGAAATAAAATTGAAGGGGATATATCTCAAACATTTAAAATATTTTCTTTTCAAGTACATTCAGGCATTTTAGAAATCCATTTACATCATACGATGTGCTAATTTCACATCATTCTTCCTTGCCTATTAAGGCAAATCACCATATCTCTGTTCTTGCAACACATTTATAGACTGGTTAGAGTTGCAATGTATCCTCCAAAACAATCCCACTGCATCTCTAAAAATATTCTATAATGTACACTCTATGTTATTGATACTCATCTCCCTCCAAATACCCTAAATTAGAGGGTTTCCTGAGCTTAATTAGTACTTACACAGTATATTGCCTCTAAAATTTTGAAATTACTGTATAGGTGGTAGTTTAATTATTTTGCTATTAAAATACATAATCATATCGCTTGAAAATTATTTTTAATAAATACTATTTATTACATAGACTATGCAAAATGTTGAGATTTATTCTTGAGTGTGTGTAGCAATGGATTTTCCAGCATCTTAGTGGGGAAAAACAGTAACCTCAGTAGGTGCCCAGACAAATGCTGTGATTCAATGGACTGACATAAAGGCATTCTCACTCGCTTAGGGCAGCTGTAGTTCTGATTTGCAGGTGTGAAATTTTTGCTTCCAATAGCTGTCAGCTAAGAAAATGTAGCTCAGGCTGGGCACGGTGGCTCACGCCTGTAATCCAGCACTTTGGGAGGCTAAGGCGGGCGATCATGAGGTCACGAGATCAAGACCATCCTGGCTAACACAATGAAACCTCTCTACTAAAAATACAAAAATTAGTTGGGCGTGGCAGCGGGCGCCTGTAGTCTCAGCTACTCGGGAGGCTGAGGCAGGAGAATGGCGTGAACCTGGGAGGCGGAGCTTGCAGTGAGCTGAGATTGTGCCACTGCACTCTAGCCTGGGCGACAGAGCGAGATTCCGTCTCAAAAAAAAAAAAAATTAAAAAAAAAAATAAAATAAAATAAAATAAGAAAAAAAATAAAAGAAAATGTAGCTCAACTAAACCTGATCAATGGCCTGATACTGAAAATCACCCTAGGCTAATTAGGGGACATGACATGGAACAAGTGTCCCAAAACCAGATTTTGAATTTTTGTTCTTTAAATAAGGCTGCATGGGGGAAATGGTCACTTAAAGAGATGGCCTGGATAAGAATGGAGGGATTTTCATTGCTAAAGTGTATTGCCTTAGGGCTTTTCTTGGGCAATAGAGATCTTTTTAGTCTGGTCAACATGCTGCACACATATGCCAATGTGGTGGTACATGGGAAAAAAATTGAGACCAACCACAAAGAAAGAGGTAGGGGTGAATTAAGGGAGACGACTGTCTTAATCTTGGAACACAGATTGCTGTGCCTACATTTTTGGTTTTCTTTTTGTTCCCCATAGCTGCTGACACTCTGTGCACACAGGTAATTAGCATTAATGATGTCACTGGCCATGCAGGTCTCATTATGAAATTAGCTGCTTTGCCCAGTATCTGATTTGGCAAAGCAGCTATTCACATATGTGCCAATGTATGAGGCATTTGGAGAAGAGATCCGGAATACAATCTGCAGATTGAGAATGAAGACATCCAATTTATAATTTCTGGGTTTAGATGGCACTTCACATTCTTTATGAGTCTAACATCAGTGAAAAAATACCTAATCATGGACTGCTTTTAAAATGTTAAATTTTAAAATATTAGGAATTTAACAGGTTACTGCATTTCTAGTGTGTGTGTGTGTGTGTGTGTGTGTGTGTGTGTATAAAAATTAATTAGGTGACATATCTTTTTCTCCTTGCTCATAACTTCCCAGCAACATTAATGATTAAAAAAATAACTTTTTAGAAAATGTGAAATTAAGAACAAATTCCATGTAAATTTTCACTCTCCAGCCCTTTTATTAAAAGCTTTTCAATATAGCATTCCTGATTAGAGGATTGGAAAAGGATGGAGTTTTCAGGGGAGAAGCTCGTTAGCAGGCAGGAACTCACCATGGGGAAGGTCCGGATAGGGTTGAGGTAGCTCTCATTAGGGGTGTTACCCAACTTGGAAAGTGCAGCCAGAAGTCCCTGGGCCTCCTTGGACTGGCTCCAGCGATAGCGTTCCAGGTTGAAGAAATGCGCCACGACATGGATGGCTAGGACGAGACGACACCAAACATGTACCCTGTGGCTTCCTCCCTAGTTACTAAAAAATACTGTGTCTCTGTGCTCAAGTTTCTCTGTTCTGGTTTTTGTAATCTCCAAGGAAAAGTGATTTATTTCTACATCTTTCACAGTGCTTTGAGTGGAGTGGATTGAATACTTCCAAAGATATTGGACAAAAATCTCCACATTTATTTAAATTATATTAATGAAGTAAATCTCAGTTAATCATAAAGTGTATAGTTATCATGGAAATGGAATAAATGTTATGATATCTCAGCATAATTATATACAATATAATTCTAAAAGAAATAATTATATATAACTTCTTAAGAAATCGGAAAGCATTATTCTAGAATACTGTACATTATACATGCTGATATGTATGTATATGACACAAATGATAGATACCAGGAGATATATTGTTTTTGTTCCCTTTTGTTTTCTGTTTATTCCTTTACACATTTTAGTATACAGTAGTCCCCCCAGTCTAAAGTTTCACTTTCCCCAGTTTAAGTTACCCGAGGTCAACCACAATCAGAAAATATTGAACGGAAAATTCCAGGAGTAAGCAATTTGTGTTTTACATTGCATGCCATTCTGAGTAGTATGATGAAATCTCATGCCATCCCGCTCTGTCCTACCTGGGATGTGAATCATCCCTTTGTCCAGCATATCCAGTAGCCCTCTTGGTTATCAGACCAACTGTCACGGTATCCCAGTGTTTGTGTGCAAGTCATCCTTATTTTGCTTAAAAATGGCCCCAAAGCGCAAAAGTAGTGATGCTGGCAATTCAGCTATGCCAAAGAGAAACGATCAAGTCCTTCCTTTAAGTGAAAAGGTGAAAGTTCTCTACTTAATAAGGAAAGGAAAAAAACTGTATGTGGAAATTGCTAAGATCTATGGTAAGAACAAATCTTCTATCTGAAATTGTGAAGAAAAAAGACACTTGTGCTAGTTTCGCTCTCACACCTCAGACTGCAAAAGTTACAGCCACAGTGCATGATAAGTGCTTATTTAGGATGAAAAAGGCATTACATTAGTGGGTGGAAGACATGAAAAGGAACATGTTCCGATGGATGGCAGTCGGGGTCAGTACTATCCACTGTTTCAGGCATCCGCTGTGGGTCTTGGAATGTATCCCCTGCAGACGAGGAGGGACTACTCTATATGTATATATACCCCTGCACATACACATTCACACATACATTTGCATGTGTTATTCCTGGTGGATTGAAATAAGCCAGTATTTATGGAACTAAACATACCTTCTGTATATTCTTAAGAAGTAAATGGAGCTTTCTAATTCTGGGACTTGGTGGTGTCTAAATTCTAAATGAAGAGAACAAGCTTAAGAACACAGCATCGTCTGGCCTGAGGATTCTGTGTCTGATGCTGCTCTTTCCAAATCTGTTGGGAAGCCAGCAGTCACAGCTAGGCAACGACATACTGATGCTTTTCCTGCAAATGAAACTCCTGCTGGGTGGCCAGTTGATAACTGCCATTGGGATCAGATTCATGTGTGAAATGAGGCTTCACTGCCCAGGGTATAGATAATTTCCCAGTTGATATCTTCTTTTCTTCTGCACCCACAGTGAGGAGTAGCACGGCCTATGACTATCATACAGTCTATACAAGTTGTGAATGAGTTACGGGATCCTCCATGGCTGTACCTTGTGGGTTGAGGTATGGAAGAAAATGTGATGGGGAAAAAGAAACAGCAGGAACTTCTGAGAATATTGGTGTCATTTTGGTCCCTGTGGTCCTAGGAGCAGATTTATTTAGAAATGCTGTCTTCTATGCAACCTCTTTTCTTTGTCACCGGAGTTCCTGCTATCACTCCCTTTTCTGATTTGCAAAATGTTCTACTCACGCCTTACAGCTCACTTCAAAAGTTGACTTCTATCACACATTCTTCAATTTCACCAGCACAAATGATAGTATGACCATAGCATTTCTCAGATATTATTGTTGCAGTATCTGTTTATCCCTGCACCCCCTGATGAACTTTCACTCCTCAAGGATGGACTTTATTCATCCTTGAAACCTCAGTACCAGTTCGCATTTGACAATTATTTGCTTAGTGACAATGAGATTACAGAAAGGTAGAAGGGGTAAAGAAAGGGTCAGAAAATCAATCTATAGACGCAACCTTGTTGGAGTAATGCTTTCTCTGTTGATATATATATATACACACACACACACACACATATATCATATATAACAATTATATATATATAAGTGTATATTGCACATTTTTTCTTTAGCCTTTAAGTTGAAAATCAAGTCAAATATACCTCAGGTTGAGGCTCACCCAAGAAGGCAAAGCATGTGACACTGTTTCTGCATCATGATGTTTACTGCCTCCTTGTGGCTTCAGAGAGGTTAGCACCCATGAGGTACTCTATTTCCTCCCAGGGTGCTTTGTCAACATATACGGCATGTCGATGAAGGGGCAGCCTTGTTTAGCCTCAGCATCCACAAAGCTGGAAAGGCTTATCTAGCAGGAGTCCCTTCCAATATGTTACATGCAAAACGGAAACTATTTGCTAAATTGAACACAAACATTGTCCAGTATTCCTAAATGCTGTTTTCTGATAACTATCTCAAAGTCTTTAAAAAGCAGGTAGTACGCTTCATAGCAAACACATTGAATGTTTACTATACAACAGACACTGTTATAAATGCTATAGGCGTATTATCTGATTTAACCCTCCTCAGGTATCAGCCTTCTTCTCATTTCACAGACCAGTATCCAAAGAGTTAAGGAATGTGTTGCTCATTAGTGATGAAAGTGGTTTAGTGGTTTGCATGACTCAGTGCTCCATCTTTTGACTATTAAGCTGTATTGCTTCATTTGACTAATGAGCAATTATCATACCTGATTTTTAATTGAAAACTAGCTTTTTTTCTACGGGCTGAGATAAAACTGAATGGTTTACCTGGTGTCTTTAATCTAGAGTCCAACCGTTTCTAAGGCTTCTGACTGATAACAACATTTGGAGTCCTCATTGTAGGTTGGCGTGAATGCTTCTTTTATATTCTGCCCCTTGACCCTTACTCCTCCTCTCCTCCTAGCTTTCTTTAATTCTCTCTCCACAGACTAGTACACTCCAGACAGGGTGTGAAGCTGTTCACAATTTACAGAGCTACAGACTGAGTTTCGGACCAAGTTAACTGATATGTTTACCATTGCATAATCCATATGTGATAGTCAGAAATAGAAGGCAAGATAAGTTTTTAATATTTTATAACTTATTTTTGTTGTTGTTGAGACAGAGTCTTACTCTGTCACCCAGGCTGGAGTGCAATGGCATGATCTCAGCTAACTGCAAACTCCGCCGCCCGGGTTCAAGCAATTCTCCTGCCTCAGCCTCCGAGTAGCTGGGATTATAGGCACGCACCACCATGCCCAGCTAATTTTTAGTAGAGATGGGGTTTTATCATGCTGCCCAGGCTGGTCTCAAACTCCTAAGCTCAGGCAATCTACCCTCCTTGGCCTCCCAAAGTGCTGGGATTACAGGCGTGAGCCACCACACCTGGCCTTATATTTTATAACATTCTTCTCCCCTGTAATGAGTTGTTGATTGCAATTTGTTTTCTGTTAGATTGATTTCCACATGAGAATTTGACATTGTTAAACGAAATTTAAGTATGTTGATTGAATGAACAAAGATATTGAACTACTTATTTATTCTTATTGCCAGGTCTCCCATAACAGAGCTGAAGAAACTAATGAAGGAGTACGAGGAAGCCCCAGATGGTTTTCAAGAGGCAGGTTCTGAGGGAATGTGTAAAAACTATTCTCTCCAGTATTTGTCACGCACTTTAAAGTTCATGTCTTACATGTTCCCTTGCTCTCGCTACCTCCATTTTGTTTTCCTTTCACAAGGTAGAACATACAAAGTGGAATATTTTATTTATCTCAGGAATTCTCAGAGAGAAAACTGCTTATGCTGATTTTGTTTGTCTAAACATTTTATTTTCCCCTTAGATCTGATCCTAATTTTACAGCAATCTTGGCTTGGAACTAAAGATACACCAACCGCTAAATTCAGAATTGTTGTGACTTGATAGGCACCAGGGGAGATACTATTTTTGTTCTTTTTTAGACATTATATTTTCTATTCCTTCCCTTCTACATTTTAGGTTCTTAAAAATGTAAGTAGCCACGCTGTTTATGTTACAGAGACAAGGGCTACAGAGATGGGATAAAACAGTGACATGGTTTGATTTCGCTCTGTCTTAGTCATCAGTATCATTTCATGTTATTAGATTTGATATTAGTATGTAACAGAAAGAATACTGAAGAGGATACTTCTCAGTCACTTAACTTCTTTCAGGCCCTTTTTTCCCATCTGTGAAATGGGTAGATTGTACTAAACAAGGTTATCTAAGCTCCCTTCCAGCTGTGTGGCTCCTGTGTCTTTCTCTGAAGTTTACTGGGAACGTATTTATCATCTAAAAGGGATTTGTAGACCAATATGGAAGTAATGCAAACACGAAGTTCATGTTTTCATGTTTCCAAAGCCAACTCTGGCTTAAATGGGGCTCTTCAGTCTTTTAGTAAATCCAACGCCATTAGCTATGGGGTGAGCTCTCCCTGGGCCTCTGTGGACTTTCTACAGTATGCACTGCTGTGCCCTTGGAGGACCGCAAGACACACATTTCCATAACCCAATTGTGCCAGGCTCAAAGGTGCTATAACTGGATCTTTCTACAATTTTGTGTTCTCCCCGGGTACTTTTACGAGAGCAGCAATTTTGGAAACACTACACATGCGCATTTAATTGGTGTGTGAATTTCTGAGTTCCAATAAGGAGTTTTACATTAAAGAGTGAACCAAAAAAAAAAAAAAAAAATCATAAAGGCTACTATTAGAGCCAGTTGCCCTGAAAAAGTTCTTTTACCTTCCTTCTTTCATTTTATTTTTCAGGAGATCGAAGTGAGCATAATTGAGGGGAATCTTGGAAGCGTGGTCCGTCTTGCTGTCTTTCTGCCTGCCTGTCAGTGATAACAGTCATTTTGGAGTTAGTC